TATCTGGGAGGACTTAGTGCCGCGGACGTAATTATATACCTGTTAACGAATGAAATATCACCGAGTCGAGGAAAGACACTTTCTGATTTATGAGCGGGGTCTTATTTGAGAGGGTAGAACTTCGCGCGGCGCTCTGATAAGTGTCGCCGATAATATGCTAATAATGATTTGTGGTGATGGGGACTTCCGTGTTAATCTACGTAAACGCCACGAAGTCGATCCGCGCTGGGAATTTAGAGTGTTCAAACGTCGACGAGGTGAAAAATACCGCGGCGAAATCTTCATGCCGAATTGAAGTGGCTCGTTAATCATCGACGTACGATGTGCCGTCCATGCGTCTTCTTGAAGACCTCAAAGAGATCCAATTTTACACATTTACATTATATTATATTATTCCAGTGTTTTCTCACACTTTTACCTTCTTATCTTCTTATCTTCTTCATACGCCACATTGTATCCGATTTGCTTAAAAATATGTCATAAAATTAGAAACATATCGCACGTAGAAGGAAAGACATTCGGGAACACATATATTCTTTTATTATAAATAGATCCAAATTTCGGTGGATCGACACGAAAAAAAAGGAAATTTTTTTCTGGGCATTATGTATAAATAAATTACTGGGGAATATTCGTTTAAATGCCGGATAGCGTGTCCAATAAAATTTGCTATATGAAAGAGAGAATTATGCAGTGTATCAGACAAAAGAGAACCACGCTTTCGTCTGGAGGAGATGTTCCGCGTAAGTACAATATATTGAACAGGCGAACACTTTTACGATGATTCACATCGAGAGAAGGAATGCATGCACTTTTTATATGAACTGCCTATTTATTTGTACGCGCCCCTCCGCCGTGCGGTATCTTCTCGTAGATTTCATTTATTTACGAGCCTAAAGGGGGAGGACGATCTAGCCCACGCCTCGCCATATTGAGCGCATTGCTCCCTTTATTTAGATTGGCAAAGTCACGCGTTACCTACTTTAAATTCGGTACAGTGACACGGGATAAAATCATCGCGATCGTTTATTACCACGCGCTTTACCAGCTGCGCGTTTGCGCGCACCTTTCGCGTCGCAGGATATTCCGATAATAATATTGTCGAAAAGACGTGACAACGAAAATGCATGTTGTTTTGCGTTTCACACTTGCACACGACGATTCTACACTGCAGTCCATTTCAATATGCATCTTGAAAATTAACGAAAAAGGTTGTGTTGTATTCTCTAGTACATATACGAGAAATTTATTGTTTTATTAATTTTATCCTAAGTTGTAATAAGATATTATTATATAGTAATAATATAATGATAATTTGTTTGATTGAATATCCTAAAGATTTCATAAAAAGGTACAATTGAGTTTTAAAATAAAATAAAGGATTGTTTTAAATTAGATGCGCAAGGCAAAATTCTGCAAAATTTTCTCTTTACTCATTACTCTTTCTTCTGTGAATAAGATATTATCTGCCACTCGTTGTGACATTTCTTGAATGTTGTAGGATTCTCCGTGACAAGAACTTGCAATGTGCTATGGACAGGATGGCCAGGTCGGCACTGTCGTGTGACAGATGCCTACTCAATGGTGTGTCTCCCCACCTACGCAGAGCACATTGCTGACACGGGCGTTTATGTCTGCATAAATTCTCATTTGAGACCCGATAATAAAGTATAGGCACGCGAGATAGGAGGGGAGACAAACACATGTTGCCCGATTCGACGAACGCGATCTGATCCATAGATCACTACGAAGCACGAAACAAGAAATCAGGCTTGGCTTGAAAAATTTCAGATACTTAATTCATATCTGAGCAAATCTTTAATCCATTATTTTTGTATTCTTACAAAACATGCATTAATAATAACTTGTAATCTTTATAATAAAAAGGATTCAAGCAGAAACGTATCATATACGCATATTAAAATAGAGAAATAAATAAAAGTATTAATATCTCTGCAAAAAAGTATATCAAGAAACAATATAGAAAATTGGGATGTGTAAAATAAAATATTATTATTTAATATACAATGCACTCAAAAAAACTTTTTAAATTCATAATACTTGATACAAACCAGTACATGTTAACAAACAACAGCTAGTAACATAGCTGGTTTCGTGGCAAACAGGATCTTGGTTGCTAAA